TTGGTAGCCCAGGCTGGCCTCGAACTCACAAAGATCCGCCTGCCTCTGCCTCCCGAGTGCTGGGATTAAAGGCGTGCGCCACCACGCCCGGCTTAGACTAGATATTTTAAAGAGACCAAATTTTTAGTGCGTTTGAATTTATAAAGACTGTGGGACTTTTGAAGTTTGTAATATATTTTATATTGTGGTGTTGATATTAAGGTGAGATCTTGGAGAATGAACAGGAAAGGGAAGGTTGTGGCTTGAGAGTGACATGTTTGTGTGTCAAGTTGACAAAGAGTCAGTTGTTCTGGATAATTTTATGTCAACTTGACACAAGCTAAAGTCATCGGAAAGGCGGGAGGCTCAACTGAGAAAATGCCTCCATAAAATGGGCTGTAGGCAAGCCGGTAGAACATTTTCTTAATTAGTGACTGATGTTGGAGGACCCAGCCTTTGTGGGTGGGAATAACTCTGGGTAAGTGGTCTTAAATTCTATAAGGAAGCAGGCTGAGCAAGCCAATAAGCAGCCCTCCTCCATGGCTTCTGCATCAGCTTCTGCCTCTAGGTTCCTGCCCTGCTTGAGTTCCCGTCTTGACTTCCTTCAATGGTGAACAGTGATGTGGAAGCCAAATAAACCCCAAGTTGCATTTGGTCATGGTGTTTCATCACAGCAACAGCAACCCCAACTAAGGCAGGGTGGGACTTTGCCCTACCTCCTTCCCCTTGTCCTGATTTTGTCTGGCTGACCTTGTGCAGGCTGTCACAGGTTCTGTGTCTTCTTATTTGCATCTGCTCTTTTATCTCTGGAAAATATTTCCTTAGCGTCATTCTTCACTTCTGGCTCTTTCAATCTCTCTGCCTTTTCTTCTGCATAGATCCCCGAGCTTTGAGAGGAGGGATTTGATAAAGGGCCATCCCATTTGTGGCTGAACACTCCAATATTTCTCACTATCTGCACATTGTCCAGTTGTGGGTCTCTGTGTTAATTATTATCTAAAACAAGAAGAAGCTTCTCTGATGAGGATTGAGTGATCCACTGCTCTAGGGATATAGCAATGTCATTAGGAGTCATTTTATTGCCATGTCCATTTAGCATAATAATAATAGTAGTTTTTCCCTTAGAGCCCATTATCTATCTAGTCTTATGTTCTAGGCTGCATTAACAGTATCAGGTACAGGTTTAATCTTATGAGTGAAACTTAAATTTGAAAAAAAAAAAAGTGGGTTGGTTACTCCCATAACATTTGTGCCACTGTTGTACCAGTGGGTATGTCTTTTGAGCAGGTCTTTTTATACTGTGTAGTGTTCATAGCTAGGGGAGATTTATCTTTGCTTTTTCCCTCCAGTCGTGTGTACAGCACCTTCTATCATTATGAAGGCAGTCAGTAGAGATGAAGAGAAAAAGCACTACTTTTAAAAGGCCAGAATTGATGACAGACATTGTGATCACATTCAGCACTCAGAAGCATCAGGACTGAAAGTTGGAGGCCAGCCTGGTCTATATGGCACAACCTTGTCTCAAATCAAACAAGACAAGACAAGCAAACAACAACGAAAAAAACAAAACCAAACCATGAGCTGGGTATTGTGTCTGTCTGCTATCTCAACATTCTGAAGATTGAGGCAGGAAGATCAGGATCTCAAGGTCATCCTCAGCCACCTGGAGAGTTCAAGGTCACACCGGGCTATATAAAATGCTATATGGAAAAACAAAGTAAAACAACAAAAAACTCTTTTAGGTTTTCATCTGTTTTTTAATTGGTGAAAATCATACATGGGTTTGACTTCAGCTATATTTAGTAGTGATATATATATATATATATATATATATATATATATATATATATATCTGCTACCTACTGTCTTAGGGTTTTGTTGTTGTTGCTTGTTTGTTTTGCTGTGAAGAGACACCATGACCATAGCAATTCTTATAAGGAAAACATTTTATTGTGGTGACTTGTTTACAGTACAGAGGCTTAGTCCATTATCATCATGGTGAGAAGCAAGGCAGCATGCAGGAAGGCATGGCGCTGGGGAGGAGCTGAGAGTTCTTACATCTTGACTCACAGGCAACAGGAAATAGTCTGTCTCCCTGGGCATATATGAGACCTCAAAGCCTGCCTCCACAGTGACACACTTCCTCCAACAAGGCCTCATCTACTCCAACAAGGCCACACCTCCTACAGTGTCACTCCCTTTGAGGGGCATTTTCTTCAGACCACCACACCTACCATAACTTGTCTGGAGTGAGCAAGAGCAATCAAGCCACAGAGCTATAGACTGAGAGCCTTCAGATGCTCATGGCATCTCAATATCTTGTCAGGTAATGAGGCTTGGGTGCTGTTGCTACATGACTGTGAATGTGCTGTTCAGTAACCAAGCAAGGGATCTTACATCCTAAGTAATCCGTGTGCTGCGTGATCATGTAATTTGTGTGCAGCATGATCACGCAATCTATGCACATGCATGGCATAGCTCTGTAAGCCCATATGCGCATATGTGGGGGAATCCATAAAGAGCAGATCACAGACTCCTCCCACCTTCTTCTTCCTCTCTCTCCACCCACAACCTGCCATAGGCCTAAAGCACATTCCGCTCTGTTCCTTCTAAGAAACTCTTATAGTGGGTTTTGCCATACCTCGTGGCTTTTCTCTCATGGCAAACAGTGCCTCATAATGAATAACATTGCGCTGCCACATAAAACTAACACTGGTGCCGAAATGAAGCAGGCCTTCCCAGCGCTCTGCGTCCAGGACCCTGTACGGAGGTTTTGCTCCATTCATGACAGCCAACTTTCCATTTGCCCAGCCACTGGATCACTTTGCACAACCCTGGCTGCTTCACCTGGTGACTTCTCCCTCTCCAGTCCCTAGCCATCTCCCACATCTGCAGCCTGAGATATATTTTTTCTCACTGTTGGACCCACGGGGGTCCTCGTGCTTGGACGCCCCAGCCCTTACCCCTCTCTTGATGAAGGGTCAGGTAACTTGTGCTGATTCACAGATCCTTCCTTGATCTCAGGGGCGCCTGAGATTGTGGTCTTGGATCACGTTTGTTTTTTTAGTTTTTTTATTTTTTCTCTTAGCTGCAGTCATGGGACAGAAGGCTTTCTCCTCTTAGCCCACTCCTCTTCTGAGAATGCCTTAAATATCCCTTGGATCCCAATAAATATGGCCATGTAATGGCTGCTTGGACCCGGATATTTCATGGGAATTCTCTAACTTCTGCCAGTGAACAGGCAAATGAAAAGAGTTACCTTATCCCCAAGCTTTCTACCTAAGCTCTGAGCCCTCCCTTTCTGAGTCTTTCTTTCCTGCCCATGTGCAACCTGAACTTGAGAAACCTCTGACTCCAAAGAACCTCCGCCTATCTGACCCCTGCTCTGCTCTCTGGTGTCAGGTGGGCCATTCCAACCACCCAGCTCTGGCTCACACCTTGACTCCTCCTGCCACATGAGCTGCCCTGAGAAGCACAGGCAGGTCTAGGGGCAGGCTAGGACTCACGCAAATGGGCTTCATCAAGCCAATGCTGCCCACCCACCTGGGGCAGAGGCAGTTCCCGATCAGGACCCACACTGGGATTAAATGGCTCTCTAGCTAGAGACCAGTTTATAACCTGCCTCCTGGCGGTTCTTCCTAAGGCTGCCCTCAAACCAGTAAACTATGAAAAGCTAAAACATGTGATTCAAGATAAGGAATAAAATCCATCTCATGTCTCCCAGAGCTCCCCCAACATCAGGGCTAAACTTAAGTATCTGGAGGGGGGCCCCTCCCACGGGCAGATGTCTTAGCCCTGGCACTTAAGGTGTACCATGGGATGAGAAAGCCCATAAACAGAATTGCCAAATTCTGGCACACGCTATCCAAGTGGCTGCCCAAAGGCTTCCAGGTCCCTGTTTTAAGCGTGGTAGAGAAGGTCACTGGGTCTGTGTGTGCCCTGTCCTATGCCGGCCACCTACTGGGGCTTGTCAGATGTGCCACCAAGAGGTTACTGGTCAGCTGACTGCCCTTGTGCACCTCATGGCATGGGGGCATGAAACCAAGACCACCCTCTATCTCCTAGGCTTGGCTGTGGGCAAGGATTGAAGGTGCCATCTCCTACAGGGAACCTAGGGTAGCCATTACAGTATGGCACGATCCATTTCCTTCCTTTTAGACACTGAGCCACTTACTCAATCCTGAGGGAGTTTTGGGGTCCCACCTATCCTCATTTCCCTATCGTCAGGGTAGGGGCACAGCCCTACCCACCTCACCAGACCCCGCCCTTAATTGTATTTTCAGGGGTATCCCTCTCACCCACACATTTTTGTGGTGCCAACCTGCCCTGTGCCCCTAAAGGGAAGAGATTTTTCTAGCTAAGCTTTTATTTCATTTGCTCCCCCCATGTGCCTCACTCCAGACCGGTCAGCGGTGCCTCTTCCCCTGCTCATGCAGTGACACAGACAAGACTCTGCTCTCTCTCAAGTTCCAAGGACACCAGGATCCACTGCCTTGTCACCAATTCCAGAAGAATGAGGTTTCACCCCACAAGCTTTTCCTTTCTGATCTCCTCTCCTAATTAACTACTCAGCTAATTGTTATAGGACCATCTCAGAGTCAGAGGCCAAGGACCATCACGTATACCTAGGTGGTAAGGAACAGTAATAATCCGGAGGTATTTACACTCCCAGACCCAAAAGGGTCTAAGCTCTGAAAAACAAACAAACAAACAAACAAATAAACACCCCCAGACTTGAATATAACAATCTATTAGTGTTAGCCCTCAGCAATTGATCACCTGTGTCTCCTGGATGCTAAACTAATAAAGGAAACAGGTTCCTCAAAATCTGTGTCAGATAAGGCTTATCTCAGGGAAAAACATTAAAAGCATGTTCCAAATCTCCCCCCATCCCACTAACACTAACCAATATAGCAGAGTACTAAACATTATGATATCATGGCAACTAGCTCAAAAATTTAAATTCCCCTTGGCTTCTTCTTAATATGTTTAAAAGTTCTTCTGGGCTCCAGAGCCAGCTTGGATTCACCTGGACAGCACCTTGTCAGACCCAAGCAGCCACAGAGCCCTAAGCAGTGGAAGGTGTTGGACAGTTCCCAAAGCAGCAGATGACAATCCACTACCCCAGGACATCTGGCTACCCCAAAAGCTCCCTTCCCTACCCCTCAAGAGTTAACCGACGCCCACGGAGTCAGCTGGAAGCAGTTTCAGGAGACACAGCACCCCCGTTCCTGTTCACCCACCATTTTTATTTTTAATAAGCAAAGAGTCTGGAATGTTGCTACATGACCGCACATACGCTGTTCAGTAGCCAAGCAAGGGGCTTTACATCCTATGTAATCTGTGCACTGCGTGATCATGTAATTTGCGTGCAGCATGATCATGCAATCTATGCACATGCGTGGCGTAGCTCCGTAAACCCAAATGCACATGTGCAGGGAAATCCATAAAAAGCAGGTCACAGACTCTTCCCCCTTCTTCTTCCTCTCTCTCCATGCACAACCTTCCATAGGCCTAAAGCACATTCCCCTCTGTTCCTTCTCCTAAAAAACTCTTATAGTGGATTTTGTCTACCTCATGGCTTTTCTCTCACTGTAAACAGTGCCTCATAATGAATAACATTGCACTGCCGCATAAAACTAACAGAGGCCCCACTAACAGTAAACAGAGACTGAAGGAAAAGTGCAGGGGCAGAGCCAGCCTTGGCCGGGTGTCAACTCAAAACTTTCTAAAGAGGTTTTCACAAATTTCACCTCTGAACTTTGAGACACAGGAAAGAAATTCCGGGATGGTGAAGATCCTGAATGAGTCTCACGATTCGTAAAATCCCTAATACATGTAGTCTCTCTTTAAGCCCTCACACACTTTTTCAACACGATTTTGAATTGGGAGAAATAGATCACTTTCCAAAGTAATTACAACTACGTTTCTAACGTTCAAAAAGGCAAGAATGTTACTGTTTTTAATAATAGTAAGAGGTCTCAAACTAATCTGTTGAAGCATTTTGCATAAAAAATAGCCTTTTGTATTCATCTGAAAAAAAATCAGGCCTGGGCCAGGAGTGGCTCGGTGGATGGAGGCCCGTGCTGCCAAGCTTGGGGATCTGAGTTTGATTCTGGGACCCACAAGGTGGAAGGAGAGAACTGACTCCTGCATTATCCCCTGACCTCCATATGTGCGCACACACACACACACACACACACACACACACACACACACACACACAAAATGAAATAAATGTAAAAGTTAAATGCAGGACTTCCTGTAGCTGCTATGAGTTCCCCCACTGGAAATTGTAGATCTCTTCACCCAGCATTTCACTGACCAGATGGATTCATTTGCTGCGTGGCAGTGACTGACACTGGCCTTCTGTCAGACTCAAGTTTTCATTCTAATCAATCCTTCCCACAAAGTAATTTTTCTGAAACAGAACTCCTGTCATATCCCTCATTCATGAAAACCAAACCAAACCACGCAAGCCCCCCCCCCCTTGAATTCTATGGCCCCGGATAGTGGGGCTCACATCCACTGTCCCCTGAGAACAGTCCCAGCCTCCACAGCAGGCTCTGGTTTGCCCCTGTCAGGCGCCTTTGTGGCCTTCCAGGATTGTAGCTCTTTATAGACAATGCAGAGCACTCTCTGGTCTCTCAGCCATTGGTCACAAAGCCGCTTCCTGGAGTGACTCTCCCAGCCTTCTCTCTCTCTGAGCCAGAGAACACTTGATAAGTTCTTCTCTGACTCTAGAGAAAAATTGCTTTTATTTATGTTTGGGCTGGCAGAATACTTTGGGCATTTTATGCTTTAATACTTCAGCAGTGCTGTGAGATCCATCTACGTACATACACCTTCCTCTTTGGACTCCAGCAGCACGGGGGTCGCATCTCTTCCACCTCTCTATGCTGGCGAAGAAGGCACATCACACAGTTCAACAGGCCTCCTTCTCCCATTTAAACACCAGAGTGGACTGCTCACGGCCCGATGCAGACAGTGGGGCCCTGTCTGCTGCCCCTGACAGTCTTTACCTGTTCCTGACCACCTTGTTATTTTGGACAAAGGGTTCTTTGCAGATAGAGTTAAGAATTTATATATATATATATATATATATATATATATATATATATCTTGGATTTCCCAGATGGGCCCCAAATCCAATGACAAATTTTCTTTTAAAAAATTGTTCAAATTAAATGTGTATTTGTGCGCGCACGTGTGTGTGTGTGTGTGTGTGTGTGTGTGTGTGTGTGTGTGTGTGTGTATGTGTTGTTCGAGGACAGCTGTGGAAGTCAGTTCTCTCCTTGCATCACGTGGCTGTGTGGAGAGGACTCGGTTTGTTAGGCTTGCTGGCAGGTACTGTTATCCACTGAGCCTCCTTGCTTCCTTCTTAACAAGAGAAGGTCATGTGAAGGTGGGCAGAGCTGGGAGGGAAACAGTCAAGGCAGTCCGGAACCTGAGAGGAAGGAAGGCGTCTTAGTGTTCCATGGCCGTGAAGACACACCATGACCACAGCATGGAGTAGAAGAGAGCATTTAGTTAGGGCTGGCTTACAGCTTCGGAGATGTAGACCGTTGTCATCATGGCAGGAAGCATGGCTGCGTGCAGGCAGACATGGTGCTGGAGAGGTAGCTGAAAGTTCTACATCTGAACCCGAAGGCAGCGGGAAGAGAGAGAACCACTGGGCCCGGCTTGGGGCTTTTGAAACCTCAAAGTCTCCCCTCACCTTGACACACTTGCTCCACCAAAGCCACACCTCTTAATTCCTCCTCAGTAGTGCCACTTCCTGAGGCCCAAGCATTCAACATATGAGCCAGTGGGGACCGTTCTTATTGAAACCATTGCAGAAGGCTTCTCTCCTAAAGCCTCAGAAATGTCCCTGCTGACACCTGTTTCAGATATCTAGAGTTCAGAACTGTGAGAGCTATCTGATGTGAGAATCCACCATGCTTGTGTAGACTTGTCACAGCAGCTCTCAGTCTCCTTTCTAGGAGTTCTGTTTCCCTGGGAAAACTGATAGGTTTCCCAGAGTTCTGTGCTGCCTGCTTCTCTCTCTCTCTCTCTCTCTCTCTCTCTCTCTCTCTCTCTCTCTCCCCAATGGGGTTTATTTGTTTATTTTTATTCATGAACCATGTTTTTTGAGGATTACACACATGATTAAACTGAATTACATTATTTCCACCCCTCCCCTGCCATCCCTTCTCAGATTCATGTCCTCTTCTATGATATATATCACGGTAACACACACACACACACACTCCGGAACTGCTGCCCATCTGTATATGTGTTTGGGACTGACCCATTCTTCTTGCTCTACACCCCACCCCTATACTAGTCTCATCTACTCTAGACCACTAGAGCTTTGTCTTTTTAAAAATCTAGATATTTGTTTCCTCTACTCCAGATTTATTTTTCCAGCTTTTTAATGGACACTTCTTGTTTTTGAGGCAGGACCCCACTATGTAGCCAGGCTGGCCTTGAACTCATGACTCCTTCTCTGCCTTCCTGGGATGGCAAACATATGTCATCACACTTTGCTTTACTACACACTTTTAGCTAAGCCTCCCTCTGTCTATTCAAACTGTACTCATGTTTCCTTTTATTTTCCAATCCTTCCCTGCTCTCTGGTACTTAGGGTTGAGTCCAAGGCCTCATGCGTGCTGGGTAAGCACTCTACCATGAACCATACGCTCAACTTCAGATTGCTTTTTCACGTTCTATTTTCTTGGAAGTGCACATTTCAACAACTTCTATTGCAAACTCTCACTTCCTATCAGCCCTTTCCAAACCTTATTGAATATACTTTTTTTTCAAAGATAGAATTCATTTCTGTAACTACAAAGTATTTTCAGATGCATTGAAATGATTACAAAGTAGAAAGGAAGGAACAGAGAATAAAGAAAAAGAAAATCCCATCATCTAAAACACTTCCTTCCCATCAACAATTTAGTATACTTTCCCCATAACCATTATACATAGTTACGATCAGAGTATGTATAATTTTACATATTCATAAGTAAATAATGAAGGTGGGTATAAAGTCCAGTGACAGAAGCTTTTCTCTAACGAGTGTAAGGCTCTGGGTTCGATTCCTGGCACCATGCATTAAAATAAAAATAAAAAAAAAAAAACAAAGATGAATGAATGAACTCATCCTTTTTCTTGTCAAGGTTGTTAATATTTAGGTTTAGGCTTTCTCAAAAGACTCCAAAGACAATTCTTGATCT